ACATTATATATACACACCTGGTGTCGAGGTCGGTGGGTTTGTTGGGGTCGGTGGGGGAGGTGTGGTGAAAGCCTCGGCCGCACACTGAGGAGTATTTAAAAATTGGAAAAATACAACTTCAGTTCCAGTGGATGTTTGTGAAATCTACATGTTTCCTGCGGAATAAGTAGGCACTTGTATTAGTCTAAGCAGAGTCAGTGCTGAACTCAAACAATCCAACACTAGGAGGTGTATAAAAAATAGAAGAAACATTTACAATAGACAAGAGACCTTCAAGTTACAAGTTTTCTTGCTGCCGTAAAGTGTTTCAAGAAAACCAACAACAATCAAAATGTGCAGCTAAAGTAAACTAGATATTAAAAAGACACAAACTACAGTCGATTTTGAGATTCAACATGCTGCGACATCCAGAAATCTGCTTTGGGCAATCCTCACACTACAAATACGCGTTTCGCATTCTGCCTGGGAGGTCCTCACTATAAAAGTTCCCAAATATTTTCATCCTTGGAACCAACAAGAGGGCGTCGAATTGAGCAAGAGATACACCGAGAGACAACGAATCAATTAATGGTTTTGGACACGTTGTGAAATTGGTGTATCTCTTGCCTTAAAGGCTTACTATGTGAGATTCTATGGTTTCAAGGGAAAAGGAAAACCCAGAACATGATGGATCTACTAACTCAAAGACACCCCCAATGGGGAAAAAATGACGATCCAAACAGCAACACATCCCCACGCCTTACAATAGCACCCCCCCCCCCCCCCTTTCCTCTTTGACAACTTGCGGTACAAGGGGACAGAAAAAGTAAAAGAAAAATAGGCACTTACCAGGCTGGCCCAAAAGAGGAACATCACACTCAAAGTCCCACCTCCCATGACTTGGGTGAGAGGAGACATAAGAATCTAGACCTCAAGTCTGAGATCAGTCTTTCACTGTCTGGTATACCTCTGAACAGTTGATCTTGGAGCAAACAGCGTAGTGTCGCCAACGGACCAAAATGTTGGAATCACTTCAGTTTTGAAAAGCCGAATCACGTAACGCTCGTATCAACTCTACAGATGGAAATCTTTCCTTGCGGATTTGATTTGACACCTAACTACGTAAAGCAAAAGAAACCGCCGTTCTTCAACTCTTGTATCCCGCCTCTCGCAGCCCGAAAGGCTGTCATTCACAACAGTCTCAAAAAAGCAATCAGAATCTTGAAACAGTACTTTCATCACAATATGAGTGTCTTCACAAGCAGGCTAGATTCCAATCGCTGAACTTTAGAAATCAAGTCCCGTTCGACTGGAATCTCCTTTCCAGATACCGAAAGGCACAAACCTAGCTATGGCTGCTGCAATCAAGACCCAAGGATGTACTTCCTCGTTGGGATACATCCACAGCCACCTTATGCCTAGGGTGCACTTTTCTGAATACGTGTCCCTTCCTTTGTCGGGCGCATTGAAGCAGAATAATAATAAATGGAAGAGGCTAGCCGTACTTAATGACGGCTAGACTCGCAGTCTAGCCGTACTAAAGTACGGCTAGACTCGCAGTCTAGCCGTACTTATTCTTAATATGATGGCTAGACTGACAATTTACAAAAAATAGGCCTACTGAATTGTAAATATACTTTTTTAGTGTGCAGTACCTAAAGTATTTGTATTTGAGACGAAACCAGGTGCCTAAATGACAGTGTATGTATTTTAAACCTCCTGTTTTCTAATGTTAATAGGGCCTAAGATAAGTACGGCTAGACTGGCAGTCTAGCCGTACTTAAGTACGGGTAGACAGCCAGGCTAGCCGTACTTAAGGACGGCTAGACTGTCAGGCTAGCCGTACTTAATATTGATGGCTAAATTGTAAATGAAATTTTTAGTTTGCAATGCCTAAAGTATTTGTATTTCAGACAAAACAAAAAGGTGTCTTACTGACTTGCATGTATTTGAACCTGAATAAGTACTACATCTAGATCTAATGAGACCTGTGTACTTAACAGGCTTGAGTCGATAGGGCCAAACCTAGATCTAAGTACGGCTAGACTTGCAGTCTAGCCGTACTTAAGTACGTAGCCACTTCGATAATAAATTATTAATTGCTAACCACAATGAAATATTGTGACAAATGTTGCTTAGAGTAGAGAGATTATTTATTCCCCTCAGACTTGCACTTCTAGATCACGCACTGCCATGGCAGCCGCTCTTCGCCCTCGATGAAAAACTTAGTTGTGAAGTGTGCGTACCGCGGTCCAGAGACCCTGTGTGTGTGTGTGTGTGTGCGTGCGTGCGTGCGTGCGTGCG